GCTGCAGAGATACTGCCTCAGGTTTCTCAAAGTGTGTTTAGTTTATGTGTAGGAAAAATGTCATTTCAAAGGTAGGACTTTTTAAAATAAATATTGATGATAGTGTTTTATTTTAACCTTTTTTCATGCCTATAGGTTAACACACTAACATGGCTGTTTATATACAGTCAACTATGAAAAATAAAACATTTTGTGAACTCTCAACAGCGTTCTTAAATGCAAAATGTGTGCTTGAAGATCATGCAACAGCTCAGTGGTTTCACCACCGCATGGAGCATCAGCAGTAACGTCACAAACTCAGGGCTTTGCAAAAAGCAGAACTTTGCCACAACTGATCGGGTTACCGTTGCACTTCTGCAATGTTTTATATCAGGATGTTATACGAAAACAAAATGGAGAAAAAATGTAAAGGGTAAGAAAGAAGGAAGCTTTACTGATAGCTGAGTCTCCTTTGGGTTTTGACTAGGCCATTCTGACATGTAAATAGTCTGATCTAATAATTCCACTGTAGCTCTGTCTGTCTTTAACCAGATGGAGTTTTCTCCAAGGGGGGGGGGCTATAAATTAAAAGTAGACATATCACACCAGTATATTTATATGAATGTCAACAACAAAAAACATGATGAAAACACTGAATAAAAACAAAACATAATTTAATGTCCAGGTTTACTTTTTGTCCATAAATCTTGTCCTTCTGAGGCTGTGAAGGTTAATCTGTGTTTTGCTCCAATACTGGGTCACCTAAAAAAAATAATTTACCAGTTTAATAATGGAGAAACTATTAGTCAGCTTTATACTTTTTAAAAATATAAATATAAAACTATTTTCTGAGAATGTGTTTATGTAAGAGCAACTATGCAAATGAACAAAAATCTAGAAAAAGTCTATGCTGACTATATTCTATTATTTTCCATGTGAATCCCAGATTGTTCATTTTTATGTTTTAAATCAGTCCTAGCTGTCTTTATCCCTGCTGGATCAGATCCTGACGTTTGAAAAAGGAGGCAGAGAAAGTAGGATAAAGCTTTAGCCTCGCTGCATGCAGTAAGCCTCGCTGCATGCAGTTAGCCTCGCTGCATGCAGTTAGCCTCGCTGCA